CAACAGGAAAACAAATGAGAAGTGAAATACTGAGATGTCACAAAACACCAAGGTTTAAAGCAGCATTTCTAGCATTACACTTTGTTGTGCTTTGTTTCCCCTAGCATCCAAATATTTCCTTAGTTCAGAGTTAAGTTTGGTCAATATAGCCTCAAGTTGCTCCAGGGGAGGTTCAGATTGGATACCAGGAAAAATGTTTACACTGAAAGGGTTATTAAGCCTTGGAATGGGCTGCCCAGGGAAGGGGTTGAGGCACCATCCCTGGAGGTATTTAAAAGACGGGTTGACATACGACATAGTGACATGGTTTAATGACGGTTTTTATCAGAGTGAGGTTGATGGTTGGACTAGATGGTCTTAAAGGTCCCTTCCAACCTTGACAATTCTATGATTCTATGAATATAAAGTTAACTGAACAACTCCTTGATATTAATTTTCATCCTTACTGCCCAGTGTTTGGAACAGTGTATTAGAAAACTGACAGAGAAACATTTCCTTCAAAGCTTTTTCTTCCACACGCGTCTTCACGCACAGGATCATTTAATGATTACAGAGTTCTACTCAAATGGATCTGAACTACCCATCACACCAACTCAACATAATAACAACGTACAATGATACCACACATACAAAGTTGCATTTCACAATCTCTAGTTACTAAATAGATTTTGACTGAAACAGTAAGAGGGATCTTGGGCGTAAATTCCTTGATAATTTCACCACTTCCATGTGTTTTCATCTGAAAACTTATAGCTGTTACAAGAAGATGGCCAACTAAAAAAAACCCAAAAGAATCCACCACCATCAAACCCAAAATTCTCACAAATATTGCAGTGACAATAAAAAAGAAAAGAAAATTTCAGCCTGAAAATATTGAGGAACTGGGGAGGAGGTCGGGGGGGGGGAGGAATCACTGAAAAAGCTGCCTGAAACAGTCAAAATTTAAGACAGCTACTACAGGATTGAGCTGTATTTTAATGCAGAAATCTATCATTCCTGAGCAGGAGAGGAGAGAAACCAAAGTAGGACTTGTAACTGGTGAAAGTTTTCATTAATAATTGAAAACAGCCTAGCAAAATGCCTGTAACAAATGAGGACAGCACCAAAATCCTGCTTACGGCATGATGAAAGAATGAAATTGTACAATTGACTTCAATGTATTTTTGCCAATTTTCTACCATGGCAGGAAAGGACTGAGATATGACACAGATGGCTTAAAAAAAAAAAAAAAAAATCTTTCTGATTTGAGGGCTACACATGGGATGTTGCAGGTTTTCCTGTCCTATGTTCAATAAACTGATCTGGGCCAAAAATCAACTTCATCGTGAACAGGCTCCAGCATGGTCAAACCTCAGCTATTACTGAAAAAGCCTTGCTTTACACTTAGTCCTGTTACAAAGCCATGGCATTAGAAATGCATAACAACGATAAAAACTATTAACTTTGAAGAACAGACAATTTTTCTCAAGGCAAGAGTTGCACTTATTTTTTCAGAAACGTTTCTAGATTTCAGTGCCTGTGCAATCAGACTGCACACACATTGACACAGTGCTGTGGAAAACATTCAGGTTCACAAGGAAAAAATACCCAGCAAATTAATTCTCATAAATAATAAAAAAAACCAACAACCAACCAAACGTACCTAAACATAGGCTTTACTTACAAACAGAAATACTGGCTACTCAATCATGGTTTTGTTTTTTTGTTTCACTCTCAGTCCCAGAAATTTTTCATTATATAAATTTTTATTGAGAGTAACTGCTACATTTCAGAGGCCAAAGAATTCAGAGTTCTTAGCCTATAAAAGAGAATAGACCTTGGCTTAGGTGACAATCCATAGGTTTAACTGTCTATGTCACCACAATTTGAGTTCATTAATATCTTAGGCAACATTTCATTAAACACTCCATTACATAGACTATTTAATACTCTGTGGCCTTCTATTCCTTAGTTTTCAGTGGCTTTCAACCCTCCTATGATGAGCTAACACACATCCAGGATAGTTCTTCTCAATCACTTCCACTGCTGAATTTCAAGTCTTATTATACCAAAGAGTGTAACAGTGAACTAGCAATATACCAAACTTCAGGATTTTGTACAAAAGGAATTAAATAACCATGATTAGCTGATGGTATCTTGAATTAGCAGCAAATTCAACTTGCCCAGAGTAATCTTTAGTGCTTAAGTCAGAAACAGGAGTTATTAACAATGCCCATTCCAAACACAATTCCTCAGTTCTCTTTCCAGTTAATCTCTTCTGAAATGTTTTATGACGTCTCTTTGGGTCAATCCCTTACTTTCTCATTCCCACTTTCTCTAGTTTTGCAAAAAAAAAATAATAAAATCCAATTTTATTCATGTACAACTATGAAATATCTACATTTCCCTCTTTGATAAGATCTGCTATCTGCAATACGAGTAGGTTTATCACAGGAAAGTTGGGCTAGAGTATGTCATATTTCGTCTGCTATCTTTTTACTGCCTTCTTCCTAAAATCATGCCTCATTAGAAATCAAGAGCTACAGAACAACAATGAAATGCCACAAGTGCCTCAGTGATTACAGTCTTCTGCTTTAAAATCTTAAATATTTTGTATTTTCCATTCCCATGACAGCATGGCCAAGGTGATCCATTTATTATAAGCTGTTTGCCCATATCTCTGTTTGTGCTGCCTTCTTTTTTCATTACTCTTTCTCGGTCCTGTCGAGAAGTTATCCACTATCACAACTTTAATAAAGCAGGAAACTATTTTACCACTACTCTATTTAACACCTTGCATTCACTTTAAAAAAAATTCAATACCTTGTTCAGTATCGTTCTTCTCACTTAAAATGCTAGCAAAGCCACAAGGAACACGAGCCTTGGGACACAAGGGTTGCTCTGACATTTCACGTGGCAATCCCGAAGGCAAGTTTTGACCCATTTGGAGCCAGACACCAGGTCTTCTCCAGTTCAAACCACCGTCTTGGGTATTTTACCCGTTGCCAACGTGACAACCAGAGGCGCAGATCCCAGTAACCTGGTGGGGTGAGAGAAGGGGGTCCGTCCATTCCCACCAAGGGCTGCTCTGACATTTCATGTGGCAATCCCAAAGCTGGGTTTTGACCCATTTGGAGCCAGACACCAGGTCTTCTCCAGTTCAAACCACCGTCTTGGGTATTTTATCTGTTGCCAACGTGACAACCAGAGGTGCAGATCCCAGTAACCCAGCAGGGTGAAAGAAGGGGGTCCATCCATCCCCACTAAGAGCTGCTCTAACATTTCACGTGGCAATCCCGAAGTTGGATTTTGACCCATTTGGAGCCAGACACCAGGTCTTCCCCATTCCAAACCACCGTCTTAGGGATTTTACCCATTGCCAACATGACAACCGGAGGCACAGATCCCAGTAACCCGGTGGGGTGAGAGAAGGGGGTCCATCCATCCCCACCAAGGGCTGCCAGGCGGGATGCGGGAAGGACAGCTGTACCCCCGCACCTCCCCACCGCCGCTATTTCAGCCCCGTGCTCCTCACGGGGAGGCGGGGCGGGGAGAGGGGAATAACGGTAACCGACACCGAGCTAACGGGAAGAGGACCGACACCGAGAAGGAGCCGCCCCCGACCCTCACCTGCCGCCACCCCGCGGCCTCCCGCTCCCGTGGGGCAGGTGCGGGGAGCAGCGGCTGCCGAGGTGCCGTCCCCCCCGCTTCTCCCCCAAACCGGCGGCGCCGGGCCGCTCCCCGTCCCCTCGCACGCCGCCGCCCCCCCGCCTCAAGGCTCGGCACCCCGCGGACGGCCTCGCTACTGCGCCATGTTGTTGGAGAGAGACCCGCGGAGACGCCTCGCCTCGCCTTCCCTCCCCC